AAGCATGGACTTGTTCACCCAAGCCGGCAAAGACTTTCTGATTATGGTAGACCATTATTCAGATTATTGGGAAATAGAGCTCCTTCCGGATCTTTCAGCGGGGACCACAGTGTTGGGGTGCAAGGCCCAGTTTGCTCGTCATGGACAGCCAGACCGGGTGATTACAGATCGGGGCCCCCAGTTTGACTGCGAGACATTCAGGAAGTTCGCCAAAGAATGGGACTTCGACCACGTAATGTCCTCTCCCAGATACCCCAAATCGAATGGAAAGGCTGAGTCAGCTGTGAAGATAGTAAAAAGGCTGTGCAAGAAGGCAGCCAGTGCAGGCACTGACCCATGGCTAGCCATCTTACAATGGAGGAACACGCCTACGGAGGGCATGATGAGCAGCCCTGCTCAGAGACTGATGTCGCGCAGACTGAGGACTCCGCTCCCGGTTGCTGACACTCTCTTAGAGCCAAGAGTGGTCGCGGGGGTCCCGGACCGACTACGGGTGAAACATCAGATGGCCAAGCTCTGGTATGACCGATCGGCAAGAGACCTGCCTGAGCTGTGTATCGGAGAAGACATAAGGATGAAGCCACTGCCTGGGGACAGGACGGGCAGGTGGAGAAGAGGAGTTTGCTTGCAACCAGGTCGTATCTGGTGGACGTCGAGGGGACACTTTACCGTCGCAACCGTGTGCACCTACGGCCAGCAGAGAGAGTCGCTGAACACCGCCCTGAGCATCAGCACAACAGTTCACCCACTGCAGAGCCCAGAGTTGCACCAAGCGATGCAGTTGAGAATGACGTCAAGAAAGACTCTTGACACAGTCACCCAGGAAGTCACACCTCACAGGCGGATTGTGGGACACCAGCCTCAAGATGACTCACCACCACAAGCACTTGTGCCAGGGTAATTCCTGTTGTAATGATTTGAACACGACAATTTCATAATTGCTATCTTTGCTAAAGAGAATGACAAAGCAACAAAAATGATGTACATATACTGTAGCATGTTTAATTGTGGAGGGGAGATGTTAGGGGGAGTGAAACCCCCCTCTTTCAGAATGGTTTGCCCCAGCAGCACGGGCGAAGTACGTGCGCTTGTTTGTACGGCCGGCAGTTTCGAATACAGCGACACATAACGAACACTCTTGTGTCCGGTGTCTCGTTATTCTGCAACATACATACAGAAACAAACCATTCCTTCATTAGGCTTTCTACCATCCATGCTTTCGTGTCAACTTTCATGACAATGTCTTTCGGGAGGTTTTCTTTTGGCATACGTAACCAGGTAAACAATACTATGACTGTTGTAGTGAATGTTGCCTCGTTTAATAAATGAAGCACTGTCACTTTAAAAGGAGCATTGGATAATCTTGTGGGAAATCTCATGAGTCTTGGACCACAAATTGAAGTGAGAAGAACACTGAGCTGTCCTTATTCAGAGCTGATGTATCTGAAGTCGGCATTGTAACCGGGCTGATATTAAAAGTAAAATATCGTCGTTTGGGAGTTTGAATGGTGTCGCATGGTGGGTCGTGTGAACAGTTGTGAAGCAGGGGAGATGAGTTGTTTTCCGCGTGTTTAGGGCACATACAACATGCCGGAAAGTGCTCACAAGCCACTACTGTTGTCTATCTTTGTGTACTTTCCGATTTGTTTGTCTTTTATTTTATCAATATAGTACATATTCGATGTTCAATCGTGAATAAAGCTTTCATAGAAAATATTTTGTGTTTGGTCAAGTCTGTCATAGACCCAGCCACAGAGCTTGCAGATTGCAGTCCAGCTCAAAACACAGGTTAAATGCGCTCTCTCCTGTCCGGTTGTTTTCATTGTGACACATGATAGGGTCTCACTATTACCTTTTCGAGTTGAGCGCTCCCTGGCGGCCGTTGGAAAAATCTTTGCAGGCCGCATCATTAAATAAGCCGCAGGGTTGTGACAAAAGTGGTGGCTTATAGTCCGAAATTTACAGTAATTGTACAGTAGCCATCGCATTTTTTTCTTCTTTTGGGTGGGGTGGTTTAATTTAGTTTTTTTGTTTCTTAAGTTACCTGTCGGAAGGAATAGTTGTGTTATAGTCCACTTTGGGGTCCATTAATCGGCCTGCCCTTTGATATTTTGCTATTCATAATATTTTGATATTTACTGCTAAAACAGCAATATTCCTAAACCATTGTAAAACTACTTCTGGATTGACGACAATTTGTGTATGCGGTATGCTAGGGATGGGGTTTTAGGTTGGGGTGGGTGTATGGCTGCCCAGAATTTGGTGCTACGCCACTGACTGATGGCTTGCTATGTTGATGCTACATACACATACGTAGTTATTGGTAATGACACCAATTTATTTATGTGGAAATTTATTTGTTCATCATCTGAAGAACCAACAGGTATAATAATGTCAGTTCCTTTTTGGGTTCAAATTTGAAAATCTTTTGACATCATGTTTGGACCGATACTTGTGTATTTGTGAGAAAACACCAACATTTAAAGTACTTGTTACTCATGATACTGTTGACATAACATGATTGCATCATTTCTTTCAGGACTGTTTTGGACAGTATTGCCTCCAAAAACTCAAACTACGTACACTACATTCACTCTCCGACCCTCTGTGTTGTACTTACTGGGTTCCCCTTTTTGTCCACCAGCAGTATGTTGAATAGTCAAGAATTAAAATTTGTTTTATTCAGTATCATTTATATCTGCTGTGATTGGCTGGCAACCAGTTCAGGGTGGACCACACCTCCTGTCGAAGACGGCTAGGATAGGCTCCAGCACGTCCACGACCCTTGTGAGGATCAGCGGCTTGGATAATGGATGAATGGATGTTGACATCTCCAGAATCATTTCTTTTTGTTTTTTCTATTTTTTTCTGCCACTCCTAAATACAGATGAGTGGCATGCATTGAGACTGACTGGGTAGAACGAGTAAGGCATGTATATTTGCAAGGAACATGAACGCGGACACAGACAACACACATAGCAGGAGGAACAGATGCCGTCACCACATGTCGCCTCATGCAGGGATCTTTTTGAATTTTTCTCAGAAACATGCATGTGCTAGCAACACATTTCAAATGTGCTCAACAGCAGTTAACTCTTCAATGCCTTTCTCCAATGATAATGTCTATGATTGGAGATAGTGCTGGGCAAATCGATCGAGGCCATAATATATCCCGATAACGATACAGTATACCACAATATACTTTCAATTATTCTATTAAAAAAAAAAAATCTACAACACACTGTTAGCGCTTACATTTTTCTCATGTTATTTTTCAGTGACATTAAACACGCCTGTATTAAATGAGAAAGGCATCCAGTAGTGCTGCTATATAATGTACTGTATAAATAAAGATGAATTGTATTGTATAAAATTATCAAGTTAACAGGAGCAAAACAGTCTACATATTTTGGCGCTAATGTAAATTTCACCCCTCCGTGAGCCGTCACCTTACCGTGGTGGAGGGGTTTGTGTGTCCCAATGATCCTAGGAGCTAAGTTGTCCGGGGCTTTATGCCCCTGGTAGGGTCACCCATGGCAAACAGGTTCTAGGTGAGGGACCAGACAAAGCACGGCTCAAAGACCCCTTATGACGAGTACAATTAATGGATCGGAGTTCCCCTTGCCCGGACGCGGGTCACCGGGGCCCCCCTCTGGAGCCAGGCCTGGAGGCGGGGCTCGTTGGCGAGCGCCTGGTGGCCGGGCCTACACTCATGGGGCCCGGCCGGGCTCAGCCCGAAGAGGCAACGTGGGTCCCCCTT